TCAGTGAAGATGAACGAGCAAAGATAGAAGGGATATTAGTCTCTACCGGGGCAATTAACCGTACTCACCGCAAGGTGGGAAAAGAGATCATAAACTTGCTACCAAATTTAAAGGTCATTAGCACTCCAAGCACGGGTATAAATCACATTGACGTACAAGCAGCCACAGATCGTGGTATTCGTGTAGGCCGAAGTCCTGGGCATTTTCCAAGTGACGCTGTGGCCGAATTTGCTTTCGGATTGCTATTGGCGTCTGCGAGGTCGATTGTGCTGGCTAATGAGATCGCTAGAACGACTGTTTTCTCATCAGGCCAAGTAAGTAAGCAATAACTTTAACTGAAAGCGGTATACGTTATGGGGCGCCCAATGTAAAAATATTATTTAGGCAATATTTTTCTAATTTTTGTGCTATTTAGAACATAGCATAAGAGCTGTTTTGCGACTTGTAAAAAACGCTTTCCAAGACATTTGCGATGTTAATCACAGATATCTAACTTTTATGCATCTCGAATGTGCTGAGAAAGAAACACTCGTAATAGAACAGACGCGTTTACGCTAAGTACTTCAAAATGTATGGTTTGTAGGGGTAAAATATTAAAGCTACAAGCGCTAGCGCGATCCGCTCGAAGACGGTCCCGAAAAGTGGACGAATGGTGGATGATACCTCAAGGGGGAGTATTTTAGTGGGGAAATAAAAGCATAATGTACAAAAAGGGGGATTGCAAAGTTATCTTCCGATGTCTTTTAGAAGTTAGACTTTCAGTTCCATTGATTAATTGACAGGGGTGCATGTAGGAATTGATTTGGGAGTCTCCAGGGTTAAAAAAGAGATCTGGACACTACTTCAACGGTTTTTGTTTTCAAAGTTCACTTTTTTCCCATTTAAATTTTCACGTGTTATTATAGTATCATATTGCACGCTATTCTTTAATTTTTTAAATTGTAACGTCTTAGCTTTACCTCTTCATTATATGTAAGACCCTGAAAAAGGAAGGCCGTGCCTTCCGAAATATTGGTAAATATATATATTTAATATTCCCGACTTTAAAATCAGCCTTGCTTCTTTTGTTTTATACCCTCTGATTTAGTCATATTTACAGACGGTGCATTTATTGATGCAGTGTTCTATTTACTGTGTGAATGGGATACCATTTGCCAATAAAAGATATACGAAAAGAGTACCTTTTCTGTCAAAGATGGTATACAAAAGGGTGAGGGTTTGGACCTCGGGGCGAAGCCACCGCGTATAAAATTTTGTTGACCACTGGGGGTGTCTAACTTTGCCAACTCTTTGGCATGAGCATGAGCATTGAACATCGTGTAAAGAGATTTATCAGACAATACTAGAGCGGTTTTCACTTGACTGTCGAAAGTAATTGAGGAATTGGTTTGGTTTTGGTTTTACTACGCCCTTTGGTTGGCTAGTGTATTTACTTTGGTTTTGGTTTTACGACAGTCAAGTGAAAACCGCTTAAGAAACTGTTGCAAGAGTCAGACTTTGTCATTTTATGCTTGCCATATACTGATCAAACCAAGCATATCATTTCATCTAAGGAACTTTGTCTTATGAAACCCACAGCCACACTGATTAATGTGGGTCGTGGTGGAACTGTCAATCATGATGACCTGACAGCTGCATTACGGAATGGAGTCATCAGAGGAGCCGCACTGGATGTAACAGAACCAGATAATCTTCCTGAAGACCATCCTCTTTTTACGATGCAAAATGTGATCATCACCCCACATATCGCTACTTATACAGAGTCCACATTTTTTAAAATGTTTACAACCGTTTTGGATAATTTGAAGGCTGGAATTAAAGGCAAAGATTTACCTTCTCCAGTATAGTAATTAGTCGGCCATCAGTTAGCTGTATGCGATGTTTGCCCTCATTGTATTCCCTTGCAAAATTTTGGGTGTCTTTTATTAATGTCAGGACTGGGGCACAAGTAAAGAAGTACCTACATTTGTTCATAAAAGAGGAAATAAATTTCCTTGTTTACACTTACCTGTACTATTTGATTTTCTGAAGCTTACAATTGGCATCCGGTTAGGGTTTCTGTCAATGGTCACTATTCCTTTGCCTGTTAATAAAGTTTACTACCAGTTTAAGGCATGACTCATGTTCAGCAGCTTGCATCAGAGGTGTGGCTCATCACAGCTTGCCCAAGTCATTCCCACTTGGTGGAGAGATTTATCAGAAACAAAAATCCCCAACAAGCTTCTTTTTTGGACTTTTTTTATTTCAAGGAAGGTTTTTAACAAGCTATGGTTCCAAAGCTCGTGGTGGTGAAATATGTCGGCTATTTCTATGTGTAACCCTGTGGGGGGCTACTCCCTATAATGGCTTATACAGGGAGGCTCTGCCCAAAAGGGTTACTTTTTTCAGGCGTCAGCAGGAGCCCTCCTGGCGTCAGGTATATAAAGGGGTAGGGATTTCACTATTTGAAGTAATGAAAGGCTAGGGAAATCTGTCATTGCGGTATATGAAAGGATATGAAAGGGCTAACAGGCCTTTATGGCTGTCAAAAAAAAAAACAAGAAAACTTCCTGATTTAGTGATTTACATGAATGGGCTCCTCTGATTTAGTCATATTTAATAGACGGTGTATTTAGGGATGCAGTGTTCTATTTGCTATGTGAGAGGGGTACCATTTGCCAATAAAAGATATACGAGAAGATCAGGAGTACCTTTTCTGTCGAAAATGATATATAAAAGGGTAAGGGTTTGGACATTGAATCGGGTATAAAATTTTGTTGACCACTGGGAGTGTCTATAAACTCATTGGCATGAGCAAGAATCTATGGGCTCCTGGCATGAACAATGAACATCGTGTAAGGACAGGAGAAAAGAGACTTATCAGACAATGCTATCACCTAAACATCGAACTTTGGTTTATTGAATTTGTTGCGTTTTAAACGTGCGCTTACTCAGTCAGATTATTATAGAACTGGTGTTGTTACTGTACCCGATAAAACATAACTTTCCGAAATAACTCCATTGGAAGATCTGTAAGGAATGTAAATATTAAAATCAGGCGACAATTCAGATACACTGAACAATAACAGGAAGGCCGGTTGAGCACGGCACTATCATTCGTGTTCTACGGCAGATCCACCAAGGTTTCCGATTCTGAGAAAGTTCCGCACTCATTTTGCAGACATTGTGCGTGTTCACATTCGTGAGTCGTTGCGGTGCGCTTGGGTTACCTGACCTGTGGCTGGAGAGTGGAACGCAATATTTCGTGAGACTAGAATTCCTAAGAAACGTTTTTTTTTTCTCTTCTGGTGTCGACATGTTTGTCATTGTATCTATATTGTGAAAAAAAAGGAAAAAAAAAAAAGAAAGAATAAGGCTCACATAATATAGGTGATGCAAGTGATGACAAGGACAGAAAACATGAACATTGTCGCTAACAAATCTAGGTACCGGAAGTTAGCCATAAGTGTCACGCACGTTTGTGCTTCTGCTTCTGCTTGAAGAACTCAACCGAGCCGAAACGATGGCTTCACGTCCCGTTGTGTTGTGCTACTCTTCCTTTACCTCTCCAGTACCGGCCTTTGACTTGCTCTTCGAACTCACACCAGCCTACGAAGGCGATTTCACACTACTGGATGAAGTAGCCGTGACCGATCTCAGTGAAGATGAACGAGCAAAGATAGAAGGGATATTAGTCTCTACCGGGGCAATTAACCGTACTCACCGCAAGGTGGGAAAAGAGATCATAAACTTGCTNTAACCGTACTCACCGCAAGGTGGGAAAAGAGATCATAAACTTGCTACCAAATTTAAAGGTCATTAGCACTCCAAGCACGGGTATAAATCACATTGACGTACAAGCAGCCACAGATCGTGGTATTCGTGTAGGCCGAAGTCCTGGGCATTTTCCAAGTGACGCTGTGGCCGAATTTGCTTTCGGATTGCTATTGGCGTCTGCGAGGTCGATTGTGCTGGCTAATGAGATCGCTAGAACGACTGTTTTCTCATCAGGCCAAGTAAGTAAGCAATAACTTTAACTGAAAGCGGTATACGTTATGGGGCGCCCAATGTAAAAATATTATTTAGGCAATATTTTTCTAATTTTTGTGCTATTTAGAACATAGCATAAGAGCTGTTTTGCGACTTGTAAAAAACGCTTTCCAAGACATTTGCGATGTTAATCACAGATATCTAACTTTTATGCATCTCGAATGTGCTGAGAAAGAAACACTCGTAATAGAACAGACGCGTTTACGCTAAGTACTTCAAAATGTATGGTTTGTAGGGGTAAAATATTAAAGCTACAAGCGCTAGCGCGATCCGCTCGAAGACGGTCCCGAAAAGTGGACGAATGGTGGATGATACCTCAAGGGGGAGTATTTTAGTGGGGAAATAAAAGCATAATGTACAAAAAGGGGGATTGCAAAGTTATCTTCCGATGTCTTTTAGAAGTTAGACTTTCAGTTCCATTGATTAATTGACAGGGGTGCATGTAGGAATTGATTTGGGAGTCTCCAGGGTTAAAAAAGAGATCTGGACACTACTTCAACGGTTTTTGTTTTCAAAGTTCACTTTTTTCCCATTTAAATTTTCACGTGTTATTATAGTATCATATTGCACGCTATTCTTTAATTTTTTAAATTGTAACGTCTTAGCTTTACCTCTTCATTATATGTAAGACCCTGAAAAAGGAAGGCCGTGCCTTCCGAAATATTGGTAAATATATATATTTAATATTCCCGACTTTAAAATCAGCCTTGCTTCTTTTGTTTTATACCCTCTGATTTAGTCATATTTACAGACGGTGCATTTATTGATGCAGTGTTCTATTTACTGTGTGAATGGGATACCATTTGCCAATAAAAGATATACGAAAAGAGTACCTTTTCTGTCAAAGATGGTATACAAAAGGGTGAGGGTTTGGACCTCGGGGCGAAGCCACCGCGTATAAAATTTTGTTGACCACTGGGGGTGTCTAACTTTGCCAACTCTTTGGCATGAGCATGAGCATTGAACATCGTGTAAAGAGATTTATCAGACAATACTAGAGCGGTTTTCACTTGACTGTCGAAAGTAATTGAGGAATTGGTTTGGTTTTGGTTTTACTACGCCCTTTGGTTGGCTAGTGTATTTACTTTGGTTTTGGTTTTACGACAGTCAAGTGAAAACCGCTCTATCACCTAAACATCGAACTTTGGTTTATTGAATTCGTTGCGCTTTTAACGTGCTTTTACTCAGTCAGATCATTATAGAAGTCGTGTCGTTACTCTACCCGATAAAACACAACTTTCGGAAATAACTCCATTTGAAGATCTGTAAGGAATATAAATATTAAAATCAGGCTACAATTCAGATACACTGAACAATAATAGCAAGGTAGGTTGAGCACGGCGCTATCATCCGTATTCTACCGCAGATCCACGAAGGTTTCCGATTCTCAGAAAGTTCCGCACTTATTTTACCGACATTGTGCGTGTTCACATACGTGAGTCGTGACAATGCGGTGCGCTTGGGTTACCTGACCTGTGGCTAGAGTGTGGAACGCAATATTGCGTGAGACTAGAATTCCTAAAGAAACATTGAATTTTACCTGGTGTCGACACGTTTGTCATTGTATCCATATTGTGAGAAAAAAAAAATAAAATAAAAAATAAAAACGAATAAGGCTTACATCATAAAACCGATGTAAGTCATCACAAGGAAAGAAAACATGTACATTGTCGCTAAGAAATCTGGGTACCGGAAGTTACCCATTAGCGTCACGCACGTTTCTGCTTCTACTTGCAAAACTCAACTTGCACCGATCCGAAACGATGGCTTCAAGTCCCGTTGTGTTGTGCTACTCTTCCTTTAACCCTCCAAGACCTGCCTTTGACGTGCTCTTCGAACTCGCACCAGCCTACGAAAGCGATTTTACCCTACTAGATCTGGTGGCGGTAGCTGATCTTAAGGAGGATGAGCGAGCGAAGATAGAAGGGATAATCTGTACCGGTGGTTATGCCCGAACAGACCACGAGTTGGGAAAAGAGATCATGGACTTGCTACCTAATTTGAAAGTCATTAGCACGCCAAGCACGGGTATAAATCATATTGACGTACAGGCAGCCACAGATCGTGGTGTTCGTGTAGGCCGAAGTCCTGGGCATTTTCAAAGTGACTCTGTCGCTGAATTTGCTTTCGGATTGCTATTGGCGTCTGCGAGGTCGATTGTGCTGGCTAATGAGGTCGCCAGAACAACTGTTTTTTCATCAGGCCAAGTGAGTAAACAAGAACTTATACGTATTCTGGTATGCTTAATTAGAACCCTACCTCCCTTCGCGACAGATCATAGCGACAATATTATTTTATACTTTTCATTCAGGATTATTAACCGTAGTCGTTTTTAGTGTCGTCACGAAAACGCGTGGGAAGCGTTGCGTGACGACACTAAAAACGGCTGTGTACAATGATTTGGGAGCACATTAACTGCCACTATTTGTGTTTTCAATTTAGCAAAAAATAGGAGTGTTCAGTCCTATACAGCAAGTTACTGGTTCTACTCTGGGTATTATTGGTTTTGGAAATATTGGAAGAGCAGTTGCTGCAAAGGCAAAAGGATTCAACATGAAAATCTTGTATTACAGTCGTACGCGGAAAAAAGACCAAGAAAAATGCTTAGGTAAAGTCAGTTAAGTGTGACCATCATGTGAATCGTATATTCTCTCAGGACCACAAGAGCAGGAACAAATGTTGTTCATTCAGGCATTCCATAAGAGTCTTATGGGTATCTGAGGGTGCGTTCGATTGGGAAATCCGAAAACAGATTTCACCTCCGAGAAATCCGTCCTCAGGGTGGATTTTGGATTTCCTTTTCACCGTTCGATACGGATTTGCAAAACTGTTCTCGTGAACAGCGGTCTTCTTTTTCTTAATTATGCGTGCGCATGCAAGACCACTGTTCTTAAGGTGACTCGACCCAGTTTTTTTGGGGGGGGTACCATCCTACTTTGAAGCTCTCTGGTATCCCCACCTTTACTTTTATCGTAAGTCTAACACATAGAATGGATAACATATAGATCAATCTACAATATAACATAAAATTTTTGGCGATCGGAGTAAATGTCACGTGGTTATAATGCCACGCCCCTTTGAGGTCTGAGTCGAAAATCTGCTGTTGCCGGCATTTTTTCGTGAAAATCTCTCGGCTACACATAGTGCGCATTAGTGCCTTGCGCTGAACAGAGTTTCACCAAAATCGCAAAGACCCAATTCGAGAAATTCAGCGGTTTCCAAATTTAGGTCATAATTTATGCGAAAATGATAAGCAAACTTTACACGGATTATATCTAATAAACTATGAGATTCATCTCTTTATTTTGGGCATCGTTATAACAGATGGGTCCTTGCAAGTCAGCAAAACGCTTTAGGGCCTTGTAAATGCGCGCGATTTCGAGCAAAGCAAACATATAGAAATTATAGTTTTCGCTATTTGTTGACGTTTGTCAGCGTTTAAGAGTCCTTCTCACGAAAAAAGCATTTTCTTAAAAATTCGTAGTTTTTTTTCCTTCAAATTTTTTCAGGGCCACAATTGATTAACTAACTACCCGGACTCTGAATTTCATGGTCATTGAAAAACTGTGACATTATCTTCTATAAGCCCAAACTTGAGTAAACATTGAAGATTTTTAGCGTTTTGGCTGAGTTTGTGCTTTGGGAGTTGTCTATTGTTTCTAGTCTGTCATTATACAGCATTCTTGTTCAGCACGCGTGCAATGACCGCGCTTGGCTGACTTCCGAATGCTCACCGAGATATAATAATTTTGGTACAGTGAGACAGGCCATCGCGTGATACATAGAGGTTTAAGTCACAATTTTTAATCAATTCTCGTGCTTCTTGTGCCTTTGCAAAAAAATCAAGAAGTGCTACACACTAAATCTACTTACTATTAAAAAAATATCATTTTTTCATAGGTTTAATGCAAGCCAATAATTAAACCAACTCGTGACGGGAATATCTCGGTGAGCATTCGGAAGTCAGCCAAGCGTGGTCATTGCACGCGTGCTGAACAAGAATGCTGTATAATGACAGACTAGAAACAATAGACAACTCCCAAAGCACAAACTCAGCCAAAACGCTAAAAATCTTCAATGTTTACTCAAGTTTGGGCTTATAGAAGATAATGTCACAGTTTTTCAATGACCATGAAATTCAGAGTCCGGGTAGTTAGTTAATCAATTGTGGCCCTGAAAAAATTTGAAGGAAAAAAAACTACGAATTTTTAAGAAAATGCTTTTTTCGTGAGAAGGACTCTTAAACGCTGACAAACGTCAACAAATAGCGAAAACTATAATTTCTATATGTTTGCTTTGCTCGAAATCGCGCGCATTTACAAGGCCCTAAAGCGTTTTGCTGACTTGCAAGGACCCATCTGTTATAACGATGCCCAAAATAAAGAGATGAATCTCATAGTTTATTAGATATAATCCGTGTAAAGTTTGCTTATCATTTTCGCATAAATTATGACCTAAATTTGGAAACCGCTGAATTTCTCGAATTGGGTCTTTGCGATTTTGGTGAAACTCTGTTCAGCGCAAGGCACTAATGCGCACTATGTGTAGCCGAGAGATTTTCACCAAAAAATGCCGGCAACAGCAGATTTTCGACTCAGACCTCAAAGGGGCGTGGCATTATAACCACATGACATTTACTCCGATCGCCAAAATTTTTATGTTATATTGTAGATTGATCTATATGTTATCCATTCTATGTGTTAGACTTACGATAAAAGTGAAGGTGGGGATACCAGAGAGCTTCAAAGTAGGATGGTACCCCCCCAAAAAAACTGGGTCGAGTCACCTTAAGGACAGTTTTTCAAATCCTTTTTCACGGTAAAAACAGAAATCTCGGCGTTGAAATCCGTTTTCGGATTTCGCGTTCGATTGCAAATCCGGATTTTAAAATCTAAATCCAGATGTCCCAATCGAACGCACCCTGAATAACAGCCCCCTACCTTGGTGTAGTTTACAGGGCTGTCAACTCTCCCGGATAATCCGGGAGACTCCAGATTTTGAACCGGTCTCCAGATTAGAGTCTGAAAATCTCCCGGATAATCGCCGAAGTTTGCCATTTCTTGTAGATTTGACTTCCTGACAATGAAATTTAACAGATTTCGCTTTAATTGAGCTATTTTACTGTTAACATCGAACGTTTCTTCACAAACTCCGTTATGCCGTTGTAATATTGGCTTGGATAAATTCTGCTCGTAAAATGGGACCAAACGAACTCTCCGTAATAGAGAGGTGTCCGTATTATAGAGGTGTCCGTAAGGAGAGGTTAGACTGTACAAGCAATAATGTGATTGGTAGGAAGTAAACCAATAATTCCAACAACATCTTTTTCGCGTGTTTTTCCCATACTATTAACTTTTGGTATGCATTTTAGGTGTTTCATTCTGCCCAGACTTGAAGAAACTGTTGCAAGAGTCAGACTTTGTCATTTTATGCTTGCCATATACTGATCAAACCAAGCATATCATTTCATCAAAGGAACTATGTCTTATGAAACCCACAGCCACACTGATTAATGTGGGTCGTGGAGGAACTATCAATCATGATGACCTGACAGCTGCACTACATAATGGAGTCATCAGAGGTGTTGCACTGGATGTAACAGAACCAGATAATCTTCCCAAAGACCATCCTCTTTTTAAGATGCAAAATGTGATCATCACCCCACATATTGCTACTTATACAGAGTCCACATTTTTGAAAGTGTTTACCACTGCTATGGATAATTTAAAGGCCGGAATTAAGGGTGAAGAATTACCTTATCCAGTGTAATACGTCAATCACCAGTTAGCCTTATGAAACGGTTATCCCTGGGTACTGTATCCCCAAGCAAAATTTTCGGTGTATTTGGAAAAAAAAAAGAGCTACAAGCTTGGACAGGATAAAATGGAAATGATCCGAACAGAAACAAAAATTAGTATTACTTCGAGTTAGCGCGAAGTTCGAGTCAGTAGCGAGGGTTCGAGTTATGGGAGTCGACTGTATGTATACATGTATATCCTTTTTAAAAGATTTTTCTCTTATTCTGCGTTTTAGAATATTCCATATATTCCGTGTTTTTTTGTAGTATTCTGTAAATTCCGTGTTTTAGTATATTCCGTATTTTAGAGTATTCCGTTTATTCCGTCATTCCGTTTCGTCATTCCGTCAGTCCACCATTCCACCCAATAGGGTCACCCATAATGCCCTTTTTTCATATCTGCCCATGCAAAAATAAAAGCCCGCGAAATTAAGTATCCTCGAAATTTATAAGTACCAAAATTAAGGTATATGTAAAGGGATTTATCGGCAAAACATTTGGACGTTGAGTAATTTTTAGTGAATTCGTTGCTCATTTGTCATCTTTTCGCGTTTTAATACTCAGTCAGATTATTATAAAAGTCCATGAGTGACTGCACCCGAAAATAGCATGACTTGCCACTATAACTCCATTTGAAGATCTGTAAGGAATACTTTAAGAACGTCGGATACTTTATAGCTGAATCAATCAATCAGTGACAATTCAGATACGCTAACCAATACCAGCCGTGTACGGAAGGTCCACAAAGGCTTTCGATTCCGAGGAAGGTCCGCACGTATTATATAACGAGGCTGTGAGTGTCTGCTGCTGCATCGAGTCGTGACAGAGTCGTGTGTTAGGGGTTCCTGGTCCAGAACCTGTGGCCGGAGTGTGAAATGCACTGCTGCGTTTCATAAGAGATGGTGTATATTTGATCTGGTGTCGATATGTCATTTCTTTCATTGTATTTCTATTGTGAACATGACCGCAAAATGAACATTCTCGCCAAGAAGTCTGGGTACCGGACATTAATATTCATGAAGTGTCACGCACGTTTCTCCGTCTGCTGCAGAACTTTACTTTCGCAGAGCCGAAACGATGGCTTCACGTCCCGTTGTGTTATGCTGCTCTTCCTTTACCCCTCCAATACCTGCCTGTAACGTGCTCTTTGAACTTGCACCAGCCTACGAAGGCGATTTTACACTTCTAGATCAAGTATCAGTGACTGATCTGAATGAAGCTGAACGAGCAAAGATAGAAGGTATAGTGTGTACCGGTGGTTATGCCCGAACAGACCACAAGTTGGGAAAAGAGATTATGGACTTGCTACCTAATTTAAGAGTCATTAGCACGCCAAGCATGGGTATAAATCATATTGACGTGCAGGCAGCCACAGATCATGGTGTTCTTGTAGGGCGAAGTCCTGAGCATTTTCAAAGTGACTCTGTCGCCGAATTTGCTTTTGGATTGCTATTGGCGTCTGCGAGGTCGATTGTGCTGGCTGCTAAGGTCGCTAGAACAACTGCTTTTTCATCAGACCAAGTGAGCACAACACACATAATTATTATTGGTATACTGATACTGTATGTTATAAATCCTTCGAGATCAGGTGGTGGGTTCGGCGGGGAAGGGAGGGAGGGAGGGGGTGGAGAGTGCTCTTGCTCTGTCTAGAAGCATGTTTGCAATATCTTTAATGGAGATGGCTAGGTCATCGGGGCATATCTCCAGTTTTATCATGCATACCGTAAACTGCCGCCTATAAACTCCCCCCAGTGATAGGTTCATCTACCTGTATTTATTATGACGTTTTGAAGCTTAATTAAAAACTGGTAAATAATAATAATAAATACTTTATTTTACTGCAAAAAAATAGCTCAACTGAGTATGAAAAAACAGCAGTATAAACCTATGTGCAGTAATAAAATATTTCAAGATTGAAGAAAAACAATAGTACATGTAAAAAAGTGGAAAGACTAATATTTACAATAAAAAAAGGTGTTAAAAATTAAAATGAATTAATCTACAATCTACACTTATGCTGTGTTTTGTCTTGTTCTTGCAAATACTTGAATGTCTTTCTTTTAAAAGATCCTAATGGTAGGCCATCAACGATTCGTCTACTGTCATACCGAGGTGCTTAAAGGATCTCTTCTGCTCTAGAAGCAGATCATCATAAGATAATTATACAGACATCTCTAGCGGTTTTGACTGCCCTGTGTGATGCTGATCAAAATGTATTTTGATCAGCACGGCTGTAGCTTGTGTGGAAGTGCTTTTTCTATTCCAGTCATAACCTCTGTTGGATATAAGCCCCTTCCTTTATAAGCCCTCCTAAAACACTTTACAGAGATATAAAAGCCCAGGGTTTATATGCGGCTGTTTGTGGTTGTAAGTAATCCAAGGTTCGTTAAAAAGACAATGTGTGGTGGAGAAAAGAAGGCAAGTAGAAGCAGGTGAAGGAAGCGAGCACCAACAAAACATCACATCTTCAATTTCTGATCTGAGACATCCTCCAGTATAAAAATAATAGATAATCTTCGTCCACAAATATAATATACGATGGTTCCCCATGTCTACATAGATATGGTCAGCTGGAGCTCACAGCATTGACAGGAATGCTGGAGCTCTATAAAGTGCCGCCTGGTTGGTTTAACACAGTTGAACCTCTCCACAACAGCCACCTTGAGGACAGAAGAAAGAAGCCATTGTAGAGAGGTAGCCATGGTAGAGAGGTTTAAAAAAGAGTCAATGTATGGACTGTTCGCTAAAAAAGTGGCTGTTGTAGAGAGGAGGCTGTTAGTGGAGGTTCGACTTTAATTTAAAACCACTTAAAAAGAAGCACTGAGCATACTCCCCCAATTATTGATGGCAGCTGTATCGCACCTCCTTAATTTGGTCAGTGGATTTACTCTCCTGAAAACTGACTCTTTTTTAAGGATTGATTTCTGAACTGATTTCAAACTTATACCCAACCATTTTCAAAATAGTTTTTTTTTCTTGTTCTGTCATGGCAATATCAATATTTACTACACCTAATTATTGATTTTTATTTTCTATCTGGCATTTAACTGATACTGTCATGTTTTTTTTCAATTTAGCAAAAAATACAAATATTCAAACCTATACAGCAAGTCACTGGTTCTACTCTTGGCATTATTGGTTTTGGGAATGTTGGACAAGGAGTTGCTAAAAAGGCAAAAGGATTCAAGATGAAAATCTTGTATCACAGTCGTACTAGGAAAGGAGATCAAGAGAAATGCTTAGGTAAGGATTGACGAGACAGTACTTTGAAAAACTCTTACTACAGTTGAACCTCCATGAGTGACCACCTCTCGTAAGCAACATCCTCCAATAAGCGACTGCCAATCCAAAACTCAGTCAAAGCCTTATAGTTGGAACCTCTAGTAAATGACCACCTCTTTTAAGCGACGGCAATGACTTTTTGGGCCTGATGGTTAATGATTATCCATTGGTTTCAACCTCTTGTAAGCCACCACTTGATGCATTCTTTGATCTCTATGTTTGCTGTGTGCACTATGCTACTTAGAATATACGAAGAACTTTAGTGACAACATGGAACTACACATGTTGCATGCTATAAATTGTCTTCCATAAAGTAAATGTGCCTGGACCTCTTGGAAGAGGCCCCCTGTGGTTTGATTCTTGTAAATCACCACCTCCCGTAAGCGACCAGTCAGTCTTTGCATTTTGGGTGGTCACTTACGGAAGGTTCGACTGTATTACACAGCTGGTAGTAGGGAAGGGCATAGGGTACACATGAACCCCATGACAGGGAAATACCCTCCTTATAGAGTGTTTTCACATGACGTCACGTTGGCTATGTTGGTGTCCCAAAACAATGAAATGACGGCCACGTTGGTGTCCCAAACCAGTCCTCTGGGAGTTGAACTCTTTTCTTATGTAAATGCTTTCTTTTGTTACAATAAATTTGCATATATGCTGGCCACGTGAGTGAAAACACTCTATATGTAAAAAAAATGTATTATTTGCTGCAGCATTTAGCAACAATAATTAGATAATAATAAGGATTTTAAGTGAGTAAATAATTCACTTCATATGAATAGAACTTTATGAGCCCAAAATAATAAAATAGAATTCAACTTTGATGTCTATCATTTTTTAAAGGTGTTTCATTCTGCCCAGACTTGAAGAAACTGTTGCAAGAGTCAGACTTTGTCATTTTATGCTTGCCATATACTGATCAAACCAAGCATATCATTTCATCTAAGGAACTTTGTCTTATGAAACCCACAGCCACACTGATTAATGTGGGTCGTGG